GTTGTTTGGCGGGTCCGGGCTGGATTTGAACCCGTCACCTTAGGTGTATGTGGCTGGCGCCTTAGCCACTTGAGCCACAGGCGCCGAGCCAGGTGTGTAGATCTTTGCAGGACTAGGCAGTCTTAGGAGCATGCAGAAGCTAGTCTCTCTAGCCACATGGTTATCTATGGAGAAGTCACTCCAGGCACTTGGCCTTCACCACGGGTATGTTAACTAAGAGTGGCTCATTCTTACCACTGGAAGAGGAAACAGGTTACAAACACGAGGCGCCAACTTAGCACGCTGCTTAGCATGCAATAAGCGCTCAGTAATAGCTTTTATTATCATCATCATCATCATCATCATCATCGGCTCAGAGGCAGGGAGGCGTTAAAAGGCATGGCAGGAGCGTAGGGGGCATGGCAGGGGAGTCATGGGGAGTGGATGGGGACAGAGGAGGGGTGGAGGTGGGGACTGAGGGAGGGTGTGCTGACCTGTGCTGGGGGCGGGGCTGGGGACAGGAAGGAGCCTGCCCAAGCTCTCCCCTCACGGAAGGTGCCACGCATCCTGGACACACCAGCCATGTCAGGTCTTCAGGCTCCGTCTTTGGGACAGGCTGTGCAGGGCATACTGGTATGCAGCATCCGCTCCGTGGGCTCAGGAGAGCCCGTCCCACAGGGCTGAAGCCCAAGGACAGGCTCAACACTCACTTTATCAAGGTAGATTGACAAAGGCCAAATGACAGTGGGGAGGGAGGATGAAGGAATCCCCACTCCCAGGAACGGACAATAGCAGAACCACTTCTACACTGGGGAGAGGTGGCACAGGGGTTCCTCCTTCCACTAAGGATTCCGAGTCAGGGGACCAAGCCAGGCAGGTGAGTTGGGCAGAGAAAAGGGGCAGGACGAATAAAGGCACGAGGTGGGGCTCGAGCCAGACCAGGATGGGGGAATGCCAGGGGTCGAAATGGGAAGGGGCGGAGCTTCTCCTAATACCCAACCACCACCACCAGGCGCGGGATCCTGAGCGCAATCTGGGCCCAGGGGCTCCTCGGGTCGGACTGGCCTTCGGACCCGGGCGCCGCGCCCCTCACACCAGCGCGTAGTCGAACTGCCCGCGCTCGAGCGCCTCCTTGTGGTCGGTCCAAGACGAGGCAGGCATACGGCTGTAGGGGTCGAGCAAGATGCGCACGCAGCGCACCATCAGCAGCACCAACACCACCAGCAGGCAGAGTACGAAGGCGAACACCGTGCGCTGCTCCGCATCCAGGCCTGCGCCCACCGGGGGCCCTGTCGACGGCGGCAGCGGCTCCGGCGACAGTGTCCACGTCGCACTCATGGCTCACATTGCCGCGCGCCCTGCGGAGGAGGGGACTTGCCCGAGGTGCTTGGGATGAGGCTGCGCTCTCCTGCGCCTCCGCGTCGCCCCCTCCCACCGCCACCCTCTACCATGCCTTGCCCCATCCCCCTCCCGTGCACTGGTCCCCGAGCTACGTCCATGCCCGTGCCCGGCCCGCAGGCCCACCGCCACCGCCACGCGGGGACCCAGCTGCGGCGGTGCGCGCAGGTGAGGGAGCGCCAACCGGTTTGGGCTGCGCACAACAGGTGCGAACGCGCGGCCGCAGCCCGGCCGGCGCTGCGGGTGACAGACCCCACTGCCACCGCCCCGTTCCCTTTGTTCTCGGCGGCCCAGAGACCCCCTCCCCCACCGCCCCCGCTCCAGCGCGCCCCTTACCCTAGCTTGGACCCGGACGGGGACGGCCTGTTTGGTTCCCTCTCTTTCTCTGGACCCCGCGCCGGCTCCGTGTTCGGCCTCTTCTCGGCGGCGGCAGAGGGCGGCCAAAGATCGGGCTCCGGCTCAGCCCACCCCACCCGCCCCTGGAGCAGCAGATCCAGGCTGGCGAGCAGCGCACGAGCCGGGCAGCCGCGGCTGTTCCCATGGCGACGCGGGCGGGGCCCCCCGGAGGGCGGGGCATCGGGGGGCGGAGGCTGCGCGGCGAGAGGCGCGCGGGCCAACGACCCCGCCCCAGCCTGCTGTCGGTATCAAGCCTCAGCCCTAACCCAGCAGCTCCCTGGGGCGTGGGCAACTGCCACGCCCACACCCGCCAGCACCTCCAAACCCTCATCCTGACCTCCAGCATCCACACACCGCTTTCCTCCTTGATAACCCCAGCCAACTCTCTGGAGGGTCTCATCGGCAAACATCACTCAGGGGCATGCAAGCTCCCCAGCCTTGAGGACCCCAACCCTCAGAGTGCCCAGGCAAGTCACTGGCCTCCCTGGCTCCCTACCCAGGGGTAATGTCCTGACTAGGGCAAGGCTGCCCCTCTAGGGCTCCAGTTCATGGAGCAGACCAGCTGGCCCACCAGAGCCAGTCCCAGTCTTTCTCACTCACACATTCTCTCTCTCTCTCACACACACAGACACCTCAGATTATTCAAGTTACTCTTCTGCACTTGCTGTTTTATTACTTCCAAATGTCAGGCTTAGGTACAGGAAAAGAGAGCATTGTTTAAAATAAAAAACATATCTAAAATGACCTGACATGGCCAGTAGGCCACTCTGAGCAGCAGGGCCTGGCCCTCTGCCCACTATCCCCACCCCTAGGTCCCAGGGCCTCTTGGCACTGTGTGGCCTGTACACCCCCAAGTGGCAGAGGGGCAGGGCAGGAGCTGGCACTGCACAGTGTGTGTCCAGGCGCTAGGCACCCTCAGTAGCCCTCAGCCCCTTTCCTAGCCAGCTGGTTTGGGGTGTCCTGGAAGAACTGGGGGCAGAGCCCAGTCTTATCCCTAGAGGTCTGGAGTTTCTGCAAGTGTCCCTGGGCATCCCAGCCTGGTGATCCAGCTTGGGGGTGGGGGGTGGGCCTGGCTGTGATGGCCACGCTCAGAGGATCTGCTCCGTGCTGGAGGCAGAGATGTCTAGGAGCCGCCAGGCTGCGTAGGGGTTGAGCTCGTCCTGGTCTCTGCAGAGCGCCCACACATACAGCATTCGCAGCACCTTGTCCTGCGGGGTTGGGGAGAGGCTGTTGGGAGAGGTGGCTCTGCAAGGGAACTGGGGGTCCTGGCACCAGCCCAGGTCTGGGCTCTATTGGGTGAGCACCACCAGGAACAACCCAGGGGCTGGGAGCAAAAGCTGGGATAGGGCCTATGACTTAGAAGCCACCCTGTACTTGGGAAAATTCGACAGGTCAGTCAATCCTCTGACCTCCCCCAACCTCAACTCTAGCCCTAGCCCTGGGTTTTCTCCCCAATCCCCACCTGTGCACCCCTTCACTTACCGGGTCGCCCTCAACCACCTGGCCTTTGGGGTTCTTGACTACCATCACCAGCTGGGCCTGGAAGGTGATGATGAGCACAGGGCCCTGTTCCATCATCTTGCCCATGGCCAGCTGTTGGGGGGGGGGGTGCCAAGAGAGTGGGGCCTCAGAGAGCAGCCTGGGCATTGCTATACATCCTGCTAAAGATACCATGCCTAGCACTGCTATGTATGTTCATGCCTGGGACCACTCCCTTGCCCTGGCAGAGCAGGCCTCCTGCCAGCCCACTTATAGTGGGCACTTCCCATGAGACCTTTTCCAAAGACAAGTTCAAGGCCTCTGATCAGCACAGCCCCAGTGAGAACATCTCCTGGGGCCTGTGGTGGGCCACAGTTCCCACCCCCTAGGGTCAACCAGACCCCCAGTGATAGGCACTCACGTCAACATTGTCGATGTCTAGAATGCGGGAGTGGAACTGGAGACCCAGGGCCTTGGCCTGCTGGATCGGGTGGGCCAGCTGGCTGTATGTCTAAAACGAGAGGCCGATGTGCCTATGTAATGGCCACTGAGGGTGGGCCTCCCTAAGGCACCACTCCATATGGAGCCAGTATTTGCACATCCTGATGCCAGGGTGCCCTGCCTCCTGGAACATGGGTCCAAGCAGAAAGGCAGGTGCTACCCACTCACTGGCCAGGATCACACGTTTCCCTCTCCTGAGAACAGCACTGGATCAGGACTACCCAATGGAATTCATCAACAAAGTAGGCGATTCTCTTGGAACACAATCCAAAACATGCTCCCAGGGACAAGCTGGCAGCAAACTGGCTAATCTTTAATATTCTCATATTCACCTCACTCTGATCTTGGCCTAGAATCAAATACCTTTTCTAGGATTTGTCCCTAACCTGAGGGCTGCCTGACCTCCCCAACTGCACCCTCCACATCCCTGCACATGAGACAGTCCCCAACACACATTTCCACTGGAGGCTTCTCTGGGCTTGGCAGGCAACCATGACAGAAGACGTTCCAATACCATCTACTGTTTATGGAAACAACTGATCTGCAAGGTAGAGGAGACTGGAGCCAATCCTACTTGTTCACTTTCTTAAAGATGACATTTTAAAAGCATCTCTGTGGAAATGGCTGAACTTCAGCTGTGCCTCCAGGGCCACCAGCAACAGATCTGACAAAAATAATCAGCTGCTACTTAATGGTCCCAAGGTAAAACAAAACAAAACAAACAAAAAAAAAACACCAGACCAAAACTCATAAATGCTTGTTGGATTAGTCACTGTGCAGGGGAGTATTTAAAAAGGAAATCTGACATCGTCTCCTCTGCTTTTTCCAAGTTGTTTGTGAGCTGGGTGCAGAATAGAATTAGCCAAAAAAGATTCTAGATTGCCTAATAAAAAGAAGAAAAGTAACTCATGAAGATACAGGTCAGGGAATGAATAAGAGGTGAGGTGGCCTGTTTAGACAGGAGTTGGGAGCCTCAGTGGGACAGAGACAGGGAGCTGCCAGGAATGGGGCAGACAGCCTCTGCTCCTGGGGACACCAGACTATCCTCCATGCACAGCCAGCAGCCCCTTGGCCCCAAGAGTTGACAGGGAAGCAGCTGGGGCCCCGTCAGGACACGATGCTCTTCCTGGGCATTTTGTTTTGATCTGTTTTAAATTGTGTCTTGAGGACAATTAATGGATCTAGCCCCTTCTGTGGGAGGTGGGCACAGGGACCTAGCTCTGGCCTGGGGAGAGGGATGGGCCATCCATAAGGCCTCAAACCATATTCACTCTTGGCCCCACAATCACATGTGGGACCCATGCCCTCTCCAACCCCTAGCCCCAGCCCATACCCTAGGGCACACCAGAGACCTCATCTTACTCAGATCACCTCTCTTGGGATTTTCCTTAACCCCAATTATTTTAAGATGGGAGAAAGAGACCCAGCAGAACTGATAGCTTCATGACATCCTATGGGGGAAGAAAAACACCACAGGCTGCCTCTCAGGTATTAGATAGGAGAGAGATTATCCCTGAGAGGGAATTTAGTCTAGAAGCAGGGGACCAGAAGGGAACACAGTGCCTGGCCTGTGGGCCCAGATGTGCCACTTGCAGAGGACAGAGGGGACAGACTTTTAGGGTCTGAGAGGGCCAGCTGACATGAGGACATCCTCCCACATACGCAAACACTGAGTCCTATAGTGCCTTCCTAGTGGAGACATCCAAACAGACTTCCTTATCCAGTGATTTTTTTGGACTTATGAAAAAAAAAAAAACAGTACTCACAGCTTCATAACACCAGTCTTTGAGAATGTCAAGTTCTCCAGAAATCATAGCCTAAAAAGGGAAAGGAAAAAATAAGCAAGAGAACAAGAAGGAGCTTTCAAGGCAGTAAACCCTCCGTCCCCAGCCTATAGCCTCAGGTCAGACTGCACTAGTGGGTGTCCCCTCCCTGGGCCCTGGGGATGAGGCTTTGGACACTAGTAGCACTACCTCCTGTGGGGGGAGCTGATCCCTAGGAACCCAGAGACTGGGACAGATCTGGTAAGGAGGTGGGAGGAGCAAGAGGAGAAGAGTGAGAAGGATTCAGGAGCTCTTGGGCAGAACTGTGGGCAGGCCAGAGGCTGAGAACATCCCACATCTCCCAAGGAAAAAATTGCCTGAAGTCTGGCTGCTACTTTTGGGAATTATTCCCATTTCCACCTCCTCCCAGGCCAGCCCAAAGTAGCACAGAAGACCTGAGAACTGAGGGAGGAAGAGGAACTTCAAGGAGGCTGCCGGGGGGCTTTCTGTGGTCCCATGAAGGCCCTTAGTAAGGCCTATCCTGATGGGGCTGGAGGGTGCCTAGGTTCCTGCTATGTCCTGGGAGCCACGGAGAGAGGCAGAGACATGGCAGGGAACAGACAACCAACCTTGGTGAAGAGCCTTGTGGGGGTGGGCTGCAGCATAACCTTGAGGAGCATACCCCTCCCTCTCTAAAGACCAAAGGGCGGGGCAGGGGGAAGATTGCCAGAGACAGCAGGGTGAGGAAGATGCCTTTGGCTGTGGGCGTCACTCTCATCATGAGCTCAGCCTGGCCAGGGGCCAGTGCTCTGCCTGAAGGTGGCTCCCCCACACCTAAAAGATCCCTGGCACAAACACCCAGCCCCAGCAGCTTCTCCTGGGGCAGTCTCAATGGAACAGCTTCAGGTAGGAAGTGTGAGGGAAATGACAATGAAGGCACTGGACTGATTTTCAGGGAATGAGGAGGAAGAGATACTGGAGCAGTTCCCTGTTCCCTGGAGCAGTTACATCTCATGGGTGAGGCATGAAATGACAACAGAGTCAGGCAGGGCCACAGTTGACTACCAGCCCCTGTTCAGGGACAAGGGCATGGGGGTACTGGGGGCCAGGGCATGGGGTGTGGTCAGGCTTCATAAACCTAGGAAGAGCATTGGGCATAGCCTATGGGATGGCTGGCTACAGCCAGGCAGGAGCCTGAGTGGAAGGTGCCTGCTCAGAAAACAACCAAAGCAGCCAAACTCTGGGCTCAGACCCAGGGTGTCAGCTGGGGATGGGGAAGTGGTTGGGTGGACCAGCTGGGGAGGGCTCCTGCACCCACCTCCAGGACGTTAGGGATGATGTCATTCTCACACTGCTGCAGAAACCGGTCCTTGTCAAAGGCTGGGTCTACCCGGAGGATCTCCGTGAGCACCTCCGACATCTCTGTCTTGGAGAACAGGCCCCCTGCAGGGAGCGTAGCCAGGAGTGGGTTGAGGATTTGGGACTCTCCCTATGGCCAGCATGGGAGGTCCTACAGCAGTTCACTCACCCAGCAAGTCAGTGACCTTGTCTGTTAGGGCCCGGGACGCCCGAATGAGCACATTGTCACTCTCATCATATTTCATCTTCATCTCAAAGAACCCTACAGGGGAGGGACAGGGAATAGAGGAGGGCCCCTTCCAGACAGATACCCCTCTGCCACAGCTTTCAGGGGCTCCCTGCAGGATCCACCCCTGATACAGGTTGGAGCAGGGAGGAGATCTCTGTAAGCCTGCCCACCTACCTGGCGAGGCTGCGGAGACCCCTCAGCAGTGGCCCTAGCGGGACTGTGTAAATTACAGGGCGCCACCCCCTCAGGCCGTTGCTTCCACTACAAAGGAAACATAGGCCTCTAGAAGTCCTCACAGGACAAGGGATGGGGGCACATGGCACAATGGCTTTCCCAGCCAGCACCTGGGAATACGCACACCCAGCCAAAATCAAACTCCAGCCCTGACACCTGCCACTAGACAGGCTAGCTGTAGCCTCTATCAGCACCAGGGTTCCTGGGGCTTGACTCTTCTTGTAAGGGAGCTATTACCTACGGTCTCCTGGCAGAATTGTACAGCTGTGTAATTGAGGGACCACTCTGAGTCCTATGTTCTCTTCTGCAAAATGGCAACCTGTCTCATGCCCAGTTTGGGGGGGTATGCCCTGAAGCCAGATAATTCCCTGGGACCCAGGTGGGTGGTCATGGGCCCCAGACACATCGCCACTCACGGTTGAACACCACGTTGTTGTCCTTGAAGTCCTTCCACTGCTGGTACCACTTGGAGTCCTTGTGTAGCACAACCCCCAGGGCCTCCCTAGGAAAAAGGACAGGAGAGCTGGCATAAGCAGCAGCCCTAGAGCCCCCTGGCCCAGGGCCCTGTGCCCTCCCATAATTGTGGCGAGGGGTGTATGGGGACGGACAGGGAGGCAACCCCAAGCTCAGGGGTTGCCATGACTTGCCCTCATCTTGGGCTCCTGCCTTCTCTCTCCCTTTTTTCCCTCAAATTCTCTGAAGGAAGCCAGGAACCTCAAGCAGAAAGCAAACTTGAGAAATGGACTTGCGGAGGAGCCTTGAGTGGGCCCCTGCAGACAGGTAGCAGTGTAGGGTGCTGGAAAGGAAGGTGAGCTGGGACCTACTCATTGGGCTCAAACACTTTTTCTTCCTTGAATTTCTCTCCTGCAAATTCCGTCCGCTTCCGGAGTCGCTGGGGCCTGCGGTAGGGCCCAATCTGCCCCAGGACACTGTCGTCTATCTCTTTCTTCACAGACTCCACCCCCTGCCAGGGAAGCAGAGGGGGCTTCGCAGGGGTGCTCCGGTCTGGACACCCTGAGCCACACACTCGAGGCCAGACCAGGGCTCACCTGGGAGAGGGCTTTGAAGGCTGCCGTCCTGCCAAGCTTCTCCCCGCCCTTGGACACTGACTCTGCCGACTGTTTGGCTGTTTTGGCTGCTCCCTCCATACCCTCCTTGATTTTCTGGGCAAGGTCACTTTTACTGACTTCATCAAGGCTCTGAGACAGACAGATGCAGAGAGATGGGAGGTGATGGCACAGCATCCACGGGCTGTGGTCTGGTAGAAAGAATTTCCCAGGAGCCAGATCCTGCCAAAGGGCTTGCACAGGCCTCTGGGGTTCCTCCAGGAACCCCAGGACTCAGCCACACACCCTCTAAGAATACCACCCATCGTTCTGATGCTGGCTTAACTGGCCTCTCCCCGAAATAGGCAGGAGTCCTCTGGGGACTCAGGAACTGCCCTGCAACAAGGAGTCAGTCCAAGGAAAGGCAGCCCAGGGTGTGAGGGTATGCCCAGCACCCTATAAAGCCAAACAAAAACAGAGGCAACACAAACTATGCCCACCCAGAAAGTCTAACTCCCACCTCCACCCTCAGCTGGGGTGAAAGTGATCCCTCTCCTTCCATTTTTAGGCAGGAAGAAGAAAAATTCTTTCTCCTCTAGGCCACTCTAGTACCACATGTTCAGCCAATTTAAGGGGTCAACTGTCAATACATGGGCAGTAGTCTGATCGCATCCCCTTTCCTGCCTTTGAACCCCAGGAGCCTCTAAAGGTGTCCTCAGGGTGGGCCTCCCTCCAAGGCCACCCCACCCCCAGCAGCCAAATCATCTCCTGGCAGCAGACAACTCTTCCAGCATCCTCCAATGTGCAGGCTGTGGGGAGTGGCAGTCAAGGGGCCTCAATGGCCCCAAAGGCTTCTAGTGGGTGCTGGACCATCACCTCTTTCACAGTGCCCGTCAGCTCCCCCAGCTTCCTTCGTATCACTTCACTGGTCCGAACAGTTTCCGATTCAATGGTTTTCTAAGGTGGAGAATGTTATTTTTTTTTTTTGAGATTTCTCTTACAACTACAGGTTCCAATGAGTGTTTTCTCAGCACTCCCCTCTTCCCCATGCCTGCCATCCAATCCCCCATGGGCAGGACCCACATAGTAGTTCCAGGCAAGGGAGTACATTAGGGACACTCAGATGGATAAGGCCTTGACTGTGGCTGGGTAGGGGCCAACACGATAAAAACCCAAAGGATCTGAGGCAAGTGCCCACATTTATAAGGCTCAGGCTCATGGATAACATGCAGACACAGTACCTGCCTCCCAGGGCCCTTACAAACAAAGGAAGCTAAGCACATTCCCACTACCTAGTGCTTGGCAGCTCCTCAAGAAAAGGCAGCAGGAATAAATGAGTAAGATGCCAGCACCATCACCCAATTTCCACCCCCCTTCATGTGCAGAGCCACAGCCAGGAGCTCTCAGGAGCAGTACCTCTCAAAGCTGGTACACACAGGTCACCTCGTGACCCATGACAACGCAGGTTCGGAGGGTGTGAAATCCTGCATTTCTCACTCCAGAAGCTGGTGCTGCTGACCTGACAACCACACTCTGAGCTACAGAGGATGCTACACAGTCTCATGGCAGAACTGAAAGGCCTGGTGAGCCAATCGTATTCCCTGGTTCCCTCTCATCAGTGCAGTGACCTCACCTCCTTTGAGCTACCCCACCCCCAAGGCTCAGGCTCCTCTAGCTGAGCCCTGAGTGGGCTCAAAGGGATGTCAGCTGAGAGAAATCAAGGCAAAGGGACTCACGTATTTCCTTCTGGCTTCCTGGAGTGCATCTGACTCTTCCAGTTTTCTGGCCTCATCTCGGAATTTTTTAATACTTTCTTTCATTTCTTTGTTTTTCGCTAATTCTTGTTTGATATTATCTAGTAAGCCAGACAGAAAGCCTTTTCTACTTCCAGAAGAATACGATTTGGACTAGAAAGAATATAAAAGAAAAAAATTAGAAAACACACTAGAAAAACATACACTAAAATGTCCCCACAGACAGATGAGGAGTTTTTAAAATTTTCTCCTTTTTGTCAAGCACCGTGGCTCACACCTGTAATCCTAGCACTCTGGGAGGCTGAGGTGGGCGGCACTTGAGCTCAGGAGTTCAAGACCAGCCTGAGCAAGAGAGAGAAATGGTTTGACAATTTTTAGCTATCTCTTTTATAATAATAATAGTAACAATAACAATAAGCTAGGCATAGTGGCTCATGTCTGTAATCCCAGCACTTTGGGAAGACGGAGGGTCACTTGAGTCCAGAAGTTCACAGCCGCAGAGAACTATGATTACACTACTGCACTCCAGCCTGGGCAAGAATAAGACCCTGTCTTGAAAATAAAAAAGAAGGCTCACCGCCTGTCACACAGTGGTTACGGCGCTGACAACATGCACCAAGGGTGGTGGGTTCAAATCCAGCCCAGCTAAAAACCAGTGGCAACTGCAAAAACAATAGCTGGGCATTGTGGCAGGCACCTGCAGTCCCAGCTACTTGGGAGGCTGAGGCAAGAGAATCACTTAAGCCAAAGAGTTTAAATTGCTGTGAGCTGTGATGCCACAGCACTCTACCCAGAGTGACAGAAAGACTCTGTTTCAAAAAATAAAAATAAAAATAAAAAGTTCGTATCCTTGGATAAAACCAACATACCCAGAGACAAACCCTAGGGAGGGTTGGGGAAAAAAATCTAGGGCTCAGCTCCAGATATGAGAGCCACTGCTATACACAGCTCCAAGATAGGGGCTTCCAAGTCAAGCAGAGCTAGATTTAAATCCCTGCTTGGCCAAGTACATAATTAAGAAGAGTGGGCTCAAAGAAAAACAGCTTAAGGAGCCATTGTAAGACAGTCAAGTTAGTGAAAAGTGGCCACATGTGGTGACTTTTCCCTAGGTTTACTGGGTATACCAAATTTGGGGCAACTACTCCCTAACCCCCAATAAGCCTTAAGGGAAAGCTGCATCAAGCCTGTGAGTCTTATGTACTGCTCCATAGAAGGGGCAGCTGGGCCACCTGCCAGCCCCAGTCCCCTTCAGATGCCACCATTTCTCTGGGGGAAGCCCAGGTTCTAAGACCATCCAGGGTCACACCACCACACAGCAGTCCTTCCCTAACACACACCCCAGGGCTGCACACCATGGATGCAGGGGACTGGACAACTTAAGGGAAAGCATGGCAGGCAGAGCCCATCCCACACCCTTGATGGCTCCAGGGCAGAATCAGGGACATAATTAACCACCTGTGGCAAGAAGGCAACTGAGCTGACTGCAGGGAGAAGGGGATCAGGTTTGGGGGTTCCCTTCTCCTGTGAGGGAACCAACAGAAGTGAGGCACCAACAGAAGCATGGTTGGAAAGGCATGACCAGGAGAAACTGAGGCCCAGACACAAACAGGTGACTCTGTGTCAATGCCTACAGGGCTATCTCCCAGGAAAGGGAATAGCCATGCTTGCCAAGGGATCCACAGGCAGAAGCCACAAGGAGGCAGAATTCACCTATCCCTCCCTCCTGTGAATAAGTTCTGACTTTTCAAACCTCTCCTATGTCTGCTTGCCTGCGTGTCCTTTGTCACTTACCAGTGGCAGTTCTCTACCTGCTCGGCCTATCTGATAGGTCGAACCACGGGGTAGGTTGTGGCTGGAAAGAAACTGGATTCCACTGCCGAGGGATCCCTGATTGGGGGCAAAGAAGAGAAAAACCCACTCAAACAAGAGGCAGACTGAGAAATAAGCAGACCACAACAAAAAAGCAGGGGTTGGCTGGGTGAGTTATCTCATGCCTCTAATCCCATGGCTTTAGGAGGCCAAGGCAGGAAAATTACTTGAGTTCAGGAGTATGAGACCAGCCTGGGCAACATGGTGAAACCCCATCTCTACAAAAGTTAGCCACGCTTGGTGATGCACACCTGTAGTCCCAGCTACTTGAGAGGCTGAGGGGAAGGATCACTTGAGCCCAAGACTTTGAGGCTGCAGGCAGCTATGATCATGCCACTGCACTCCACCCTGGGTGACAGAGTGAGACTCTGTCTCTAAAAGAAAAAAAAAGCAGGGGTCACCTGCAACTCATTCATTAATTTTTATAGCATGTCTGCAACATGTTGGGCACTCTGCAATCTTCCTAAAGTCTAGGAAGCCAGTAGAATCTGGTAGAAAGAGAAAATGCTATGTCTACACTTCCAGGGCCTATTATCTACCCTCCTGCCTCTGAAACTACAGGAAAACCAATGGGTCTTAGGAAATGCCAACCTATAGGGAAAGACTAAATATACCAGTAAAATTTAACTCCAAAGACTAGAGGCTTGGACTTTCAGAGACAAACATAACTTACTGCCCCAGCAACACCCTTGGAGTAAATTTGCAATGTCCCACTAAAGGGCTGGGTGGCAAACACAGCAATTCAGTAGAGTCACTGTGGAAAAAGACACAGCATACCTATGTGAAAGGTACTTTCTTCTCCTACTAAATGACAAACTTTAAGTTCTACACAAGTCCTGTTCAACTCTGTACACTAGCATCCAGCACTGGGCCTGACACTTTATGTCCAATGGCCCAACAGAACCACTCTTCCATTTCCACATATCCTGAGCCTTTCGTCTCTGCTCCCTGCCTCCTAAGCTCTGGGATCCCTAAGCAAGATTCCAAACCTACACAAGTGCCACTACCTTTTTTATAGTTACTTGAGGATAATTCTTGGGAGTATAACTTGTTTCACTTCAATATTTACCTATACCCATTGATTAGAGAACCACTGACTTCAGCAACCATCTGAAATAGAAATGGGCCACTGTCTAACCTGGGAGAGAAATCTCAAGGTAAGTTTGGTTCCCTCTCAGTCTTGTGCCCAAATACGAACATATATAAATTTAGTCTCTTATCTCTGACTCAAAAGACTGAGGAAAAAAACAATCATCCTAAGTTAAAGACATCTTCTGTGCTGGGCGAGGTGGCTCACGCCTGTAATCCCAGCACTTTGGAGGCCGAGGCGGAGGGATAACTTGAGCTCAGGATTTCAAGATGGGCCTGAGTAAGATTGAGACCCTGTCTCTAAAAAATAGCCGGGCATTGTGGCGGGTGCCTGTTGTCCCAGCTACTTGGGAGGCTGAGGCAAGAGAATCGCTTAAGCCCAAGAGTTGGAGGTTGCTGTAAAGCTGTGACACCATAGCATTCTACCAAGGGCCATATAGTGAGACTCTGTCTACAAAAAAAAAAAAAAAAAAAAGACATCTTTTGTCCCGACATTCTGTGTCCGATGAGATATTTTCCCTCCTCTTAACAGTTTGGCTTTGGATTCAGACTGACCTAGGCTTTGGACCAACTTTGGGACTGTGGACAGGCGGCTTAACTTTTCTGAGCTAGCTTCTGATTTCCTAATCTAATGAAATAAGGACAAGCGGCAGCAATATGAAGTACTATTTTCTGGGTGCGCGTTAAACGCTTTGACTCCCACCGCCCTATAAACCCAAGAGTCCTAGCTCTTAGCCAGTGTGAGGCCCACCCCCGGCACTTCCACACTGAACATTAGAAGCAGTGATACAGGAAATGCCCCCGGTAGAGGCCTGGGCATTTAAACGCGAGTTGCAAATGTCACAAATTTTTGCCTTCCTCTTGCTGCCGCCCCGGCCACCTGGCACACTCCCGTACACGTGGAGTCTGATCAGGAAACCAGGGGCGATCGCCTCCCCGCTAGGCTCCGCACATAGCCGTCCCCCGCCCAGTGCGCTCGGTCCCCTCCCTCAGGCCTCGCTCTGTGGCCCTTGCTCCAGCTTCGGCTGAGCAACGACCCAATTCCAAGCTTCCCGCGGATCCCAGGGAAGGGGTGTGGGCGCCAAGGGCCTGAGGAGAAGGAAACTCTAGAAGCCGAAAGCTCGGCGCCCCCTAAAACGGCCCTGCCAGCTCCACACGTCCGCTCACCCGCGGACAGCGGTACCAACCACCCCGCAGCGTCGCCGCCGCCATGTTGGAAGATCCCGTATGACCTTTTCGCGTCGCGGACCGATGCGTCATCGGCCGCGTCTGCTGGGCACACCTCTGACTTGGGAAAAGACAGCCCACGGGGCGGTGTTTCGGGGAGAGAGAGGTCTCTGATTCGGGGGTGTGTCCTGAGGGGGCGGGGAATTCCTAGGCAGAATGGCCTCTGATAGGACTGGGTTTTGAGACAGCGGGGCCCATGTGGCTTCCGGGGCGTGCACTCCTGTGAGGCTCGTATCTGTGGTTCCGCAAGACTATGAGGGCGTGAATTCAGCCGGCAGCGGTGATTCTCCCAGCCGATCGCGCAGGTGACTGGAACTTCGGGCTTGTGGTTTGAGCGACCACAGGAGAGATTCAGTTGGACTGTGACTGACGGACTAGCCCGAGAATGATTGATTTTGGCTCACCCTGACAGTGACTGACAGACCAGCAAGTTGAGTTGCTCCAAGAATGAAGGAGTCCACTCTCATACACCACTTTGGGAAGATGCCTGTTGGTTTTGGCCCAGAACAGGAAGGGGAAGCTGAGACCAGGCTAATTTTAGTCCAGTCCCCCATCGATTTAGTGTGGATTGACACACCTTTACCAGAGGAAGCGCAGGCCTTTTTCATTCTAGCACCCCAGATACTATTTTTCATTTGGAAAAAACTGCCATTAAGTGGCATACTTTACATGACCCTACAGTTTAAGGCTGGGGAGAGGAGGAGAGCTGGCCCCTAATGTATGTTGCCATTGTCCTGTTGAAGGCTTTTGCATTATTGACCTGTGATATAGGTTTATGGGACTTCATTCCTTGAAAGGGAGGTAGCTTGGTATTGGGAAATAAGCTTTGCCTGGCTTCAGGGCTGGACAGATGTGTTCCCTCAGGAGCTTCACTTCAATGTAGAAGTAAGGGATTGAGGGCTTCCATTCCAGCTTAGTGTGGGATGTTTTCACTACAAGAGGAGCAAACTAGTTAAGCAGCTGAGGTACACAGGTTTATTGCTGAGACAAAGATATGGGCTAGAAATCCAGACTTTTAGTTGTATTTGAAACCACAGGGTTGGACAAGGGCACGGAACACCCTGTCATATGGGCATATCAAAGACCCAAAGAAAAAGTAGGTGAGGAAGAGCCTGGTCAGACTGTTGAACAGGTAGGAATAGGACCTGGAGGGCCTTGAAGAAGGCAGGTGGAATGTTACAAACTTCAGGCAAGGCCAGAACTGTATCCACTGTCTTTTGCATTTTGCAATGTGGAGGTCATTGGTGAGATGAGCAAGTATAGTTTTGGCTAATATGACAGATTTCAGCGTGTTAAGATTTTTTTTTTACAGAGGTGTGCTGGAGCCAGCTTGTAATGACTTCTGGGAGTCAGCTGGCAGACTTTCAAGAATTTTGAGGCCAGTTGTTAAACACAACCAACATATAACAATTAATTGTACAAAAATGATCAAATGGACCATGATAAAACAATGGTAATACCCCCAAATACATCATTTCCTTATTATTTTACTATATTACTATTATCTGTGCTCTTGTATTTACCCACATAGTATCTGCATACTGGAAATACTACATTATGTGAGACACTGCATTTCTTTTTTTTTTTTTTTTTTTTTTTGAGACAGAGCCTCAAGCTGTCCCCCTGGGTAGAGTGC